TAAAAAAAAAAAAAAAAAAAAAAAAAACTCGGGTGGAGAAGCTTTTTGAAACTACCCTAGAACGAAAGCGAAAACACGCCAAAGTCGCGAAATCGATACCCAACCATCAAATTGGGGCATTCCCCACCACAATGCCGAGAAATATTTTTTTTCCATGCGTGCAAAAAAAACACTCCCGTGGAGTAGCTTTTCGAAACCGCCCTAGAACGCAAGTGAAAACGCACTGGTGTCGCGAATTCAATACCTAGCCATCGATTCTAGGCATTCACCACCACAATGCCGAGAAATATTTTTTTCGCATCCATGCAAAAAAAAAAAATGTTCTCGTGGTGCAGCTTTTCGAAACCGCCATAGAACAAAAGCAAAAACGCGCTGTTGTAGCAAAATCGGTGTTCGACCATCGAGTTGGGGCATTCCCACCACAATGTCGAGAAATATTTTTTTTGCATGCATGCCAAAAAAACGCTCTCGTGGAGCAGCTTTTCCAAACTACCCTAGAACTCAAGTGAAAACGCGTCGTTGTCATTAAATTGGTGTCCAACCATTGAATTGTGGCATTCCCCACAACAATGACGAGAAATATTTTTTTCGTATGCATGCAAAAAAACGCTCCCGTGGAGCAGCTTTTCGAAACCGCCCTAGAAAGTAAGCGAAAACGCGTTGGTGTCGCAAATTCTATACCCAACCATCGAATTGGGGCATTTCCCACCATAATGCCGAGAAATATTTTTTTCGCATGCGTGCAAAAGAAAAAACGCTCCCGTAGAGTAGCTTTTCGAAACTGCTCTAGAACGAAAGCGAAAACGCGCTAGAGTCGCGAAATCAATACCCAACCATCGAATTGGGGCATTCCCCACCACAAATGCCGAGAAATATTTTTTTTGCATGCGTGCAAAAAATATATATTTCACTCTCGTGGAGCAGCTTTTCAAAACCGCCCTAGAACGCAAGCGAAAACGCGTTGTTGTCACGAAATCGGTGTCCAACCATCGAGTTGGGGCATTCCCCACCGCAATGCCGAGAAATATTTTTTTCGCATGAATGCAAAAAAAAATGCTCTCGTGGAGCAGCTTTTCGAAGTTGCCCTAGAACTCAAGCGAAAACGCGCCGTTGTCATTAAATTGGTGTCCAACCATCGAATTGTGGCATTCCCCACCACAATGCCAGAAATATTTTTTCGCATGCTTGCAAAAAAATGCTCCCGTGGAGCAGCTTTTCGAAACTGCCCTAGAAAGTAAGCGAAAACGCGCTGGTGTCGCAAATTCTATACCCAACCATTGAATTGGGACATTCCCCACTACAATGCCGAGAAATATTTTTTTCGCATGCACGCAAAAAAAAAAAACGATCCCGTGGAGCAGCTTTTCAAAACCACCATAGAACGCAACCGAAAATGCACCGGTATCGCGAATTCGATACTCAACCATCGAATTGGGGCATTTCCCACCACAATGCTACGAAATATTTTTTTCGCATGCGTGCAAAAGAATGAGCATTTCGGAACCGCCCTAGAACGCAAGCGAAAATGCACCGGTATCGCAAATTCGGTTCCCAACCAAGGAATTTGGGCATTCCCCACCCCAAAACCAAGAAATATTTTTTTCGCATTTCAGAACGGTCGTAGAACGCAAGGTCCCAACACAAATAAAATTGAGATAAGTTCCTTAATAAATACAATTTTAACATAAATAAAATTGTTGCTTAATTGGTCATATTCAACAAAAGCAAATACAAAATTGAGATAAGTTCCTCAATTAAATAAGCTTACAATTTTATACAATCTATTATTTATTTTCAACTATTATTTTAGGTAAAAAATAAAAAACTCCAAATTTTGAAAGACAATTAATGAATTTATTACACGAATATAGGAAAGCAAAGAAGTAGAGATGCTAGTCATCAATGAGGTCCTTCTTTTGGTGTCTATGTTGTTGAACAACCAAAACCGAACCATTGATATTGAAGTCGGAAGAAGCCAAGAGGTCACCGACGGTGCCGAGCTCAGGGCATTCCTCCCAATCACTCATTCCCGTCGTCAACGTCGAGTGACCTCTTCCTCCTTTCCCAACTATGAATAGAGAGTACATGTCTCCTATGTCTCTAAGCTCTTTTACCGTCTCGGTCCCATTCTTCACTTGCTTCTCGACGTATCCAGCTTGTCCGGTGGACACGTGCCTGGCATCGAGTTATTTTAGTTTAAGTTAAATTACGAAGTTTACGTTTAAGAAGTCGAACCTGTCGTAGAAATCAGCTAGGAAGGCATTATCTGTCTCACTTGAACTGGACCTTAGACTGGGCAAAGCCATCAAGACCCCTTCATCACTTGATGATGATGACTCCGCTGTTGCCTCCATGTCGTTAATGGTCACTAGTGGAACAAATCTTACAACGGTCAAATTAATCCTTGAATGACTAATCATCCTCCTACTCCATGCCAAAGCCTCCCTATCATCCGACCCACCAAAAAACAATGTGGCCACGTGCTGCACGTGATCCGAGATCAACAAATGCGAGAACGCCAAGAATCCCGTTTGAATCCGATCCACGAGGATCCCAACCGAGCAAGGCGCGTGGCGCAAAATCTTTTGATTGGTGGTTCTGATGCCCTCCTTCCCGCTCTCCATTTTCCCATCAATCCGTTGGTGCTTATGAAATGGAAGAATAACAACCGACACCCTAAGATCCTCCGCAGCATTACAAACATCCTCGTACAATGTCGGAAAACTCGACACAGCTTTCGAGAGTGGCATAAATATTTTTGTGTCCGATATGAATGCATCGATGGCACAATGGATTTCAAGCACGTCATTCCCACCGTACCCCTCATCGTCACTCAATTCGTCTTGTTCGAGCTCATGGTACGAGAGGTTGGTGCGACGCTTGTGGAGGAGCTCGATTAGGTGAAGGAGAAAGGGAGAAAGGTGGGAGGTATGGCCTCCGCTTAAGGCCGAAAGAAGTGGAAACAACCCTGAGAGGTGGCGAGGCCCATAGGCACATGCTAATGCTCGAAGCTCATGGTTCGGGTCCGTGTGCTCCAACGACGTGTGGGTGTGCGAGAACAACTTGTACTCGCGCCGCATTAGCAATGCCACAATAGGGCCCGAGATTATAGTGTTGATTACGATGCTTATTAGGAGGAGGTTGTACGCTCGAGGATTACTCCATGACTGCAACCAAAAGTACACAACTCTACCATGACCATTGTTAGTTTAACAAGTTACATTTATACATATACTCTAAGCTTCAAATAATAATTATCATGCATAATCATTGACTAATCTAATACGATACGACGAACGACAAAAGACAGTGAACATTCAAACAAAACAACGACACGTACCACTTTATTTTGTTTAGCTGTTCCACTTCTTCAATCACTTGTTCGTGTCAAATTAATCGACGAACATACTACAAACAAAAAAACGTCAAATAAAAAAAGTGAATACATATGTTACTTACCATGAGTGACTTAGAGGCACCACCAATGAGCAAGAGATCAGCATGGCCCTTCAAGTTAAGAACAAACCCTAGAAAAACCCCTTCATTCAATGGGATATTCAAGTAATTGCAAGCCGCCAAAGTGCCACTCATTTTGCTCCCAATACTCAACAAAACCATAATGGCCACAATGATGACATTGCTCAATTTCCAAAGATTATTCCCATCAAATTGGAACCCCACGTACCCAAAATAGATTGGCAAAACAAAATTATGCACAGAATAAGTCAATTTGTGCAATAAAGTCCTCGCCGTTTTGCCCTCTTTTGGGAACATGACACCCAAAACAAAGCTACACACAATG